TTGCTAGGGCAATATCTTTACTGCCACAGCTCCTAGGGCAATGGAGACTAAGGAGAAAATGAACAAATGGGACTACATAAAAATAAAAAGCTTCTGCACAGCAAAAGAAACCATAAACAAAGCAACAGGAAATCCTTCTGCATGGGAGAACATATTTGCCAATGTTATATCCGAGAAGGGCCTAATCTCCAACATTTATAGAGAATTCATACACAACTTAACAAAAGGAAAATAAACAACCCAATAAAAAAATGGGCAATGGACCTAAACAGATACTTTTTGAAAGAAGACAGAAGGAAGGCCAAGAGATATATGAAAACATGCTCAAAGTCACTAATCATCTGAGAGACGCAAATCAAAACAACAGTAAGATACCACCTCACTCCTGTCAGAATGGCTATCATCAACAGATCAACAAAGGAAAAGTCCTGGTGAGGACGTGGAGAAAAAGGAACCTTCTTGGACTGCTGGTGGGAATGCAAAGTGGTGTAGCCACTGTGGAAAACATTATAGAATTTTCTCAAAAAATTAAAAATGGCACTCCCATTTGACCCAGTAATCCTACATCTAGTAATATATGCCAGGAAAACAGAAACACTAATCAGAAAGGATATATGCACCCCTGTGTTCATAGCAGCACAATCTATAATAGCAAGATTTGGAAACAGCCTAGGTGCCCATCAGCAGATGAGTGGATTAAAAACCTGTAGTACATCTACACAATGGAATACTATGCTGCTGTAAAAAAAAAAAAAAAAAAAAAAAAAAAAAAAAAAGGAATTCTTACCATTTTCAACAGCATGGATGGAACTGGAGAGCATTATGCTAAGTGACATAAGCCAGTCAGAGCAAGATAAATATTACATGATCTCACTCATTTATTGAATATAATGAACAACATAAACTTATGAACAAAAACAGATCCAGAGACAGGGAAGCGTTGATCAGATACTCAAACCTCAGAGGGAAGGTGGGGTGGGGAGTAAGATATCAAACAAAGGGCTTGTATGCATGCATAATAGAATAACCCATGGACACAGACACTACGGAGTGAGGGCATGTGCTGGCGGAGTGGGAGCGGATAGGGAGAAGTCAATGGGGAAAAAAGAAGATATATGTAATACATAAAGAATTTAAATTAAAGAAATAAAATAAAATACCAATGGCATATTTCACAGACCTAGAACAAACACTCCAAAAATTTATATGGAATTAAAAAAGACCCTGAATAGCTTCAGCAATCTTGGGAAAGAAGAACAAGTTGGAGGAATCACAATACCACATATCAAAGTAGACCACAAAGCCACCATTCTCAAAACAGCCTAGAACAGGCATACAGATCAATGGAACAGAACAACAACAACAACAAAAACAAAAACAAAAAAAAGAATTGACCCAAGCCACTAATGAACCAAATAAACTTATCATCAAAAAGAGACCCAGAGTCATAATAGTATGAACGGACTATGGAACTTCAGAGGGAAGGCAAGGGAGAGTGGGTTGGAAGAAATCAACCAGTGAACTTGTATGTATCTATGCATAACCCGTGGACATGGACAATGGAGTGGTGAGGGCCTCGGGGAAAAGGGCAGTGGGCTGGAAGAGGTTAAAGGTGGAGGGAAGGAGGACCTATGTAATACTTTCAACATTAAAGCTTTAAAAAAATGGATTGAAGACATGAATATAAGATATCAAACTCCTAGAAGAAAATATAAGCAACTCCTAAAAGAAAACATAAGCAGTAAGCTCCTTGACATCTGTCTTGGTTATGATTTTTTTGATTTGACACTAAAAGCAAAGGTAAATAAAGCAAAAATAAGCAAATGGGGCTACATTAAACTAAAAAGCTTCTACACTGCAAAGAAATCATCTACAAAATGAAAGGCAACCTACTGAATGGGAGAATATTTGAAAATTACATATTTAATAAGAAGTTAATATCCAAAATATATATTTTTAAAAACTCATACAACTCAATACATCCCATTAAAAATGGGCTCAGATGCCCTAGCCAGTTTGGCTCAATGGGTAGAGCATTTGCTTGTGGACTAAAGAGTTCGATTCCAGTCGTGGGCACATGCAACCTCATAAATATCAGTGAAATGCAAATAAAAATCACAATGAGATATCACCTCATTTTGTTAGAATGTCTATTATCAAAAAGAGAAGTAAAAACAAGTGTTAGCCAGTATGTGTTGAAAAGGGAACCCTCACCATTGAGTGAGGCTGTGTCGCGTAACCTAATGTTAGAGTGACAGTTGGATGCAGGCGCGGTACTGCGTGTCCCTATTGCTGCAGCCGCTTGTCAGTGTGATGAAGATTGGCACCCAGGCCATAGAACCTGTTCCTCACCATCTGCTCTTTACCGGGACATGCAGCTCTGCTCTGCTAGTTGCTCAGATACCATTTGCTTTTTGTTTTTTTAATTTATATTTGTATTACTTTTTTATTTTTTTTACAATTTAATTTCAATAGTATTTTTATATTTTACAGTTTTATTTCACCCCCTTACATTTTAGGTTATTAATTATACAGCTTGAATTTTTTTCTTGAATATCTTTTTATTAATTAATTTCTTTATTAAGGTATCACATATTTGTCCTCAACCCCCCCCACCCTCACTCATGCCCCCACGTCCCTATTGTCCTTGACCACTGGTTAGGCTCATATGTGTGTCAACTAAAGGACTTAAGTGCACAGATATGAGCCTAACCATTTGCTTTTGACTCAGTATGATTTGATGTCTTATAATAAACTTAACCATGATGGCTACACAGACATTAAGCATAGACAGTTATCAAGATGGGCAACAAATAAAAGTACCCTGTTTCCCCGAAAATAAGACAGTGTCTTATATTAATTTTTTCTCCCAAAATTTGCGCTAGGTCTTATTTTCAGGGGATGTCTTATCTTTCCATGCGCTAGGTCTTATTTTCGGAGGATGTCTTATTTTTGGGGAAACACGGTAGTAACAGAGTTAAAAACAGAGCAAGATCCCAACTGCTCTGAACCTGATGTGGAAGGAGTGAGTCCTTCCCCTGTGGGGTCCCAGACACTGATGGATGAAGATAAGCAGGCCATTTATAGGCATCCACTGTTTCCATTATTAGCTTTGGTGTTTGAAAAATGTGAGCAATCCACCCAGGGCTCAGAAGGCACACCTTCTGCCAGTTTTGATGTGGACATTGAACATTTTGTAAGGAGCAATCGAAGGAATGAAAAACCTTCTTTTGTGAAGATCCAGAAACTGACAATTGAATGGTCAAAGCAATCCGAGTTTTACGTATTCATCTTCTTGAGCTGGAAAAGGTTAACGAACTCTGCAAAGATTTCTGCAGTCAATATATTGCTTGTCTAAAAACGAAAATGAACAGTGAAACTCTCTTAAGTGGAGAATCTGGAAGCCCGTACTCCCCTGTCCAGTCCCAGCAGATTCAAAGTGCCAACTTAGGCACTCTCAGCCCCTAAGGAATTGTGGTGCCTGTATCCACGCTGCAACAGGGGGATGTAACTATGGCAACAGTGGCAGGTGGTACAGTTTATCAGCCTGTTACAGTCACCACTCCTCAAGGCCAAGTAGTGACACTGGCGTTGTCGCCTGGGACAATCAAGATCCAGAACTCGCAGCTTCAGTTAAAGTTAAACCAAGATTTGAGCATCTTGCATCAAGACAATGGCTCATCCAAGAACAAGAGGGGAGTTGTGCCAAAGCATGCCACCAGTGTGATGCGGTCCTGGATCTTTCAGCACATAGGGCATCCCTATCCAACAGAAGATGAGAAAAAAAAAAAAAAACAGATTGCTGCTCAGACAAATTTGACACTATTCCAAGTTAACAACTGGTTCATCAATGCTAGAAGATGAATTCTTCAGCCGATGTTTGATTCTACTTGTTCAGAAACTCCAAAAACAAAGAAGAAAACCTCTCAGAACAGACCAGTTCAGAGGTTTTGGCCTGACTCCATTGCATCCGGAGCCACACAGCCACCACCCAATAGGCTCACCATGTCAGAAGGAGCTGTTGTGACGATCACCATGCCCGTGAGCATGGACATGGACAGCCTCCAGTCTCTGTCCTCAGACGGCACTACCCTGGCCATGCAGCAGGTCATGATGGCAGAGCAGAGTGAGGACAAGCAAATAATGTAAATAAATAATGTAATTAATTAATGTAATTAATGTACACCATGGTGACTATAATACTGTATTGTACATTTGAAAGTTGCCAAAAGAGTAAATCTTAAAAATTATCGTCACAAGAAAAAAAATTTGTGATTATGTTACATGACAGATGTTAACTAGACTTATTGTGGTGATCACTTTGCAATATATAAAAATATAAAATCATTATGTTGTATACCTGAAACTAATATAATGTTGTATGTCAATTATAATCTCAAATAAAAAGATTCTGGTATCCTCTGGTTGTCTTTTTATTGTTTTTGCGTAATTAGTCAAGGCTCATGTCCTCTAAAAATGGTATAATTGTCCATGAAGTGGTGCTTGAAAATGTCATAAATTTCAGAAAAATGGCCACTAGTATGGAAGATACCAGAGTCTCAACTCTGTCACTTCCAAGCTGTTTGACCTTAATCAAAATCCTTTACTGCTATCAGTTTTGGTATCTTCATTTCTAAAATGAACTTAATGTCTTCTCTACCACACACAATTGTTGTAAGGATTAAAGTGTAGTAGCATATTATTAGGATTAGCACTCTCATGCTGCAGGTAAATTCCCCATTTTGTAGGCCACTACGTGTATACTTTAACACTGGTGTCCTCTCAGTTCCTATGATGGGTATTTGCTGAAAGCCACCTTTGAAAGAAACTGAGTTCAGAGGCCACACTCAGGGATGGTTCAGGCTCCAGGTAGAGAGAGGTTGAGTCAGGGGTATGTGTATGGCACTAAATCTCAGAAAGGGAGATTTGAAAACTGTGTGCTCAAATCTTAGAATTGGAACTCAAAACTGATCAATGTTGTTGTCTTTCATGTCTTTCAGGTGCATGATGACTGCAGGCGTTGGTTTTCCAAGGAATGTTGGTTTGGGCGCCACCGAAATTCCATCATTCCTCCAACCGCCCTAACCGACCCACGAGGAGATGGTGAGTAGTTAAACTTTAATCTCAGAAATATACTGGGGAGGAAGGGGAGGTGAAAAGATTGGAGAAAAGGACTATAATTAAATTATTCTCCTCAGCCGGTCAAATATTTCTGAGGAGTAGGAATGTGCATATGTGTAGAGATAATTCATTTCTCTTTAGACCTTTGGAATGGTGAATGTTGATATTTATCGTGTATATGTATGTGGGCATATTCTCTGTAGTCTCTGTCACATCAGCCTATGCAAAAGCAATCTTGTGGACATAAGTATTTACCTGGTTATGAATCTGCCTAACATTGCTACATTTCAATCTACATTGCTACCCAATTTTAATCAAATTGTTCAAAAGATTCTCTGGACAAATTTGGCCTTGCTCAAATGCAGATGCTCCTAACTCTGGGGGAAATGCTAAATGGGGTTGCCAGTGTTTCTGTTTTCTTGAGATATATTCATAGAAGTGGGATTACTGGGTGAAATGGAAGTTCCATTTTTAATTTTTTGAGGAAACACCATACTGTTTTCCACAGTGGCTGCACCATTCTGCATTTCCTCCAGCAGTGTACTAGGGTTCCTTTTTCCCGCATCCTCGCCATCACTTTGTGTTTGTTGATTTGTTGATGATAGCCATTCTGACAGGATGTGAGATGGTACCTCGCTGTTGTTTTGATTTGCATCTCTCAGATGATTAGTGACTTTGAGCATGTTTTCATATGTCTCTTGGCTTTCTGTATGTCCTCTTTCAATAAGTGCCCATTTTCTTATTGGGTTGTTTATCTTCCTTTTGTTAAGTTGTATGAGTTCCATGAAAATGTTGGAGATTGGGCCCTTCTCGGATATAACATTGGCAAATATGTTCTCCTATGCAGTGGGTTTTCCTGTTGTTTTGTTTATGGTTTCTTTTGCTATGCAGAAGCTTTTTATTTTTATGTAATCCCATTTGTTCATTTTTTCCTTAGTCTCCATTGCCCTAGGAGCTGTGGCAGTAAAGATATTGCTATGACATATGTCTGATGTTTTGCTGCCTGTGGATTCTTCTAAGATTTTTATGGTTTCCTGCCTTATGCTTAAGTCCTTTATCCATTTTGAGTTTATTTTTGTGTATGGTGTAATTTGGTGGTCTAGTTTCATTTTTTGCATGTATCTGTCCAATTTTTCCAACACCATTTATTGAAGAAACTGTTTTGATGCCACTGTATGCTCTTCCTTCGTCAAATATTAATTGAGCATAATGGCTTGTGTTGATCTCTGGGTTCTCCAATCTGTTCCATTGGTCTATATGTCTGTTCTTGTGCCAGTACCAGGCAGTTTTGAAAACAGTGGCCTTATAATACAGCTTGATATCTTGTATTGTGATCCCTACAAGTTTGTTCTTTCTCATGATTGCTGTGGCTATTCAGGGTCTTTTTTAGCCCATGTGAATTTTTGGAGAGTTTGTTGTAGGTCTGTGAAATATGCCATTGGTATTTCATTTCTTTTCTTTTTTTATTAAGGTATTATATGTGTACATATCTTTCCATTGCCCCCCCACGCCCACACATGCCCTTCCCCTCCCCCAGAGTTTTTCATCCATTGGTTTTGCTTATATGCATGCATACAAGTCCTTCGGTTGATCTCTTATCTCCCCCATATCTTCCTATCCTCCCCGCTGTAATTTGACATTGGTATTTTAATGGGGATTGCATTGAATCTATAGATTGCTTTGGGAAGTATGGACATTTTAATGATGTTGATCCTACCCATTATATCTGGCCCTTATTACTTCTTTGACCTCATCTTCTGCTGCCCTCCCCCTTACTCACTCAACATCAGGCATGCTATTCTCTTCACTGGTCGTCAGACACTTCAGTCTCTCTTCTCTGGGTCTTAGCACTTATTTTTCATCCCCACCCACCAAAAAATATCTTCTTCCAGATATATGCATTGCTCACTTCTTCACTTTATGCAAGTCCCATCTCATATGTTACCTCCGCAGGAAAGCTATCCTTGACCACCTGTCTAAAACAACACCCCTTCCAGTCTCCATTCCCTTTTTCTACTTAGTTTACTTCATATCACATTATTTTTTTATATTTATGTGTTATGATCTGTCTACCTCCAGTAGAATACAAGTTCCACTTTTGCTATCTTGTTTTCCACTGTATTCTCAGAATATAACAAGGACGAGCACAGAGAATGCCCACAATACATATTTTTTAAATAAATGTATTAATGTTTTAACTACTATTGTGTTAACATATTGCCTTTTGTTTAAATTTTGTATATACATTGTATATCAAGAAAACTCTTTTTAAAAAGTGTTTGCAAAATTTAATATTAAGTTATATTAAGTTATATCTTGTTTCCATTTCAATAACCCTGTTCTCTTTTTCTTCTTTTTCTCTTTCTATCAGGCCAGTTAGAAGTATCTTCAGACTTCTGGAATCTTGATTGGTCATCAGCCTGTTCATGCCCCCTTCTCATCTTCATCAACTCGAAAAGTGGCGATCATCAAGGAGTAATCTTCCTCAGAAAATTTAAGCAATACCTGAATCCATCTCAAGTGTTTGACCTGTCGAAGGGTGGACCTGAAGCCGGGTAAGTATGGCATAAGGGATATAGTGGGGCTTTGCCTTTTACACATTCTAGAGTAGGCTAGGCTTCCTGGAATTAGTTTTAGTATCTGGGCAGGAAATACCTATTTTCTGAAGTCAGGACACAGACACATAATTCCAGAGTATTTGGGGTTGACTGGTATTTTGGAGGAATCCTTTCAAGTCCATATCCTGCTCTCAGATTTGCTCCACCTTTTCTGGTTAAAAGAAGCAAAACTGTGTCCTTACCTCAAAGGAGGCAAATGGATATTGCTGTCCATCTTTCCTGTCATTCATCCCTTCCCGCTCCAATGGGGCCAAAGTTATATCTCTACTACAGGCCTTTTTTATTTGAGGACTATCTGGCTATTCAGCTCTGGCTTCAGTGAGCCCATTGGCCACCATGTGAGACACTCTTCTTGGACCTCAGCAGATAGACTTAGCTAGGTTACTAGTAGCTTCTAGAGCAAGGTTTGGCATAGGATTAGTATGGGTTAAGGCAAGGCCTGATTTCAGGACTGCCTATGGGAGCATTGCCTGTAACTTTAGGAAAGCATAGAGATAGTGGTTAAGGGAAAGAAAGATGTAGCTTGTTAGCAGGGTAAAGAAGAAACAGTCCTTGGGCCCTTTGTAGGAAACATTATAGGAAAGAGTTGTAAAACCCAACAGTCCATTAAATGTTTCCCTTTTCTCCTTTTTATTCCAGGCTGTCCATGTTCAAGAACTTTGTTCGCTTTCGCATTGTCGTTTGTGGTGGAGATGGCAGTGTGAGCTGGGTCTTATCTCTGATTGATGCCTTAGGATTGCATGAAAGGGTGAGTCTCTAGCTGACTCAGTTTACCCATTGCTAGGAAGACTGGGGTGTGAAGCTTCTCATTCCAAAAAGTCCTTAGTCTTCACTCTCCCTGTCTGTAAAATACATGTTTCCCATTGGTTTCATACGTAGCCTGACTGGTAGATTTCCAAACTAAGCCTGCTCACCTAGAGCAGTGGTCGGCAAACTCATTAGTCAACAGAGGCAAATATCAACAGTACAATGATTGACATTTCTTCTGAGAGCCACATTTTTTTTTTTTTTTTTTTTTTTTTTTTAGTTCTTGGTTTTTATTTTATTTTTTTAATATATTTTATTGATTTTTTTTTGCCCCCCTCCTTCCCTCCCACAAATCCCCTCCCTCCCCAGAGTTTTGTGTCCATTGGTTGTACTTATATGCATGTATAAAAGTCCTTCGATTGATCTATTATCTCTGCCAGATCTTCCTCCCCCTCCCGCTGTAATTTGACAGTCTACTTGTTGATATACTGTCTCTATATCTATCCTTTGGTTCATCAGTTTATAATGTTCTTTATCATCCACAAATGAGTGAGGTCATGTGGTGTTTCTCTTTCATTGATTGGCTTATTTCACTCAGCATGATGTTCTCCAATTCCATCCAGGTTGCTGCAAATGATGAGAATTCCTTCTTTTTATGGCAGCATAGTATTCCATTGTGTAGATGTACCATAGTTTTTGGATCCAATGATCTGCTGACGGGCACCTAGGCTGTTTCCAAATTCTGGCTATTGTAGATTGTGCTGCTATGAACATAGGGGTGCATATATCCTTTCTGATTGGTGTTTCTAGTTTCTTGGGATATATTCCTAGAAGTGGGATTAGTGGGTCAAATGGGAGTTCCATTTTCAGTTTTTTGAGGAAACTCCACACTGTTCTCCACAGTGGTTGCACCAGTCTGCATTCCCACCAGCAGTGCACGAGGGTTCCTTTTTCTCTGCAACCTCGCCAACACTTGTCGTTTGTTGACTTGTTGATGTTGGCCATTCTGACAGGTGTGAGATGGTACCGCATTGTTGTTTTGATTTGCATCTCTCGGACAATTAGTGACTTTGAGCATGTTTTCATGTGCCCTTTGGCCTTCCCTCTGTCTTCTTTTGAAAATGTTCTATTTAGGTCCATTGCCCATTTTTTAATTGGATTATTCATCTTCCTTTTATTTAGTTGTATAAGCTGTTTGTAGATGTTGGAGATTAAACCTTTATCAGTGGTATCATTTGCAAATATGTTCTCCCACACAGTGGGCTTTCTTGTTGTTTTGTTGATGGTTTCTTTTGCCGTAAAAAAGCTTTTTATCAATATTTTGATGTAGTCCCATTTGTTTATTTTCTCTTTAGCTTTCATTGCCCTAGGGGTAGTATCAGTGAAGTTCTTTTGGCATACATCTGAGATTTTGCTGCCTGTGGATGCTTCTAGTATTTTTATGGTTTCCCCTCTGATGTTTAAGTCCTGTATCCATTTTGAGTTTATTTTTGTGAATGGTGTAAGTTGGTGATCTAGTTTCATTCTTTTGCAAGTGTCTGTCCAATTTTCCCAACACCATTTATTGAAGAAACTGTCTTGACTCCATTGTATATTCGTGCCTCCTTTGTCAAATATTAACTGAGCATAGTGATTTGGGTTGATATCTGGGTTCTCGATTCGATTCCATTGATCTATATGTCTGTTCTTGTGCCAGTACCAGGCTGTTTTGAGAACAGTGGCTTTGTAATATAGTTTGAAGACTGGTATTGAGATCCCTCCTACTTTACTCTTCTTTCTCAGGATTGCTGTGGCTATTCGGGGTCTTTTATTGTTCCAAATGAACTTCTGGAGAGTTCTTTCTAGGACAGTGAAATATGTCGTTGGTATTTTAATGGGGAGTGCATTGAACCTATAGATTGCTTTAGGAAGTATGGACATTTTGATGATGTTGATTCTACCAATCCATGAACATGGTATGTTCTTCCATCTCCTTACATCTTCCTCTATCTCTTTTTTCAGTGTCGTGTAGTTTTCCGCAAATAGGTCCTTTACTTCCTTAGTTAAATTTATTCCTAGGTATCTTAATTTTTTTGGTGTGATGGTAAATGGAATTGCTTTTTTAGTCTCTGTTTCTGCAGTTTCACTGTTGGTGTATAGAAATGCCATGAATTTCTTGGCATTAATTTTGTATCCTGCTACATTGCCAAATTCATTTATTAAGTCAATTAGTTTTTTAATGGAGTCTTTTGGGTTTTTTATGTACAATATCATGTCGTCTGCAAATAAGGATAACTTTACTTCTTCTTTTCCAATTTGGATGCCTTTTATTTCCTCCTCTTGTCTAATTGCAATGGCTAGTACTTCCAGTACTATGTCAAACAGGAGTGGCGAGAGTGGGCATCCCTGTCTTGTTCCTGTTCTTAGAGGGAATGGTTTTAGTTTTTGCCCATTGAGTATAATGTTGGCTGTGGGTTTATCATATATAGCTTTTATTATGTTGAGGTATGATCCTTGTACTCCCACCTTGTTAAGAGTTTTTATCAGAAAAGGGTGTTGGATTTTATCGAATGCTTTTTTCTGCATCAATTGATATGACTATATGATTTTTATCTTTCAATTTGTTTATGTGATGTATCACGTTTATTGATTTGCGGATATTGTACCATCCTTGCATTCCTGAAATAAATCCTACTTGGTTGTGGTGTATGATCTTTGTGATGTTCTTCTGGAGTCGATTTGCTAGAATTTTGTTGAGGATTTTGGCATCTATGTTCATGAGGGATATTGGCCTATAATTCTCTTTCATTGAGTTGTCTTTGTCTGGTTTTGGTATTAGGGTGATGCTGGCTTCATAGAAGGAGTTTGGAAGTGTTCCTTCCTCTTGGATTTTTTGGAATAGCCTGAGGAGGATAGGTTTTAGTTCTTCCTTGAATGTTTGGTAAAACTCTCCTGTGAAGCCATCTGGCCCTGGGCTTTTGTTTGCTGGAAGCTTTTGGATGACTGTTTCAATTTCTTCCCACGTCACTGGTCTATTGAGATTTTTAGATTCTTCCTGATTGAGTTTTGGCAGTTTGTATTTTTCTAGGAATATGTCCATTTCCTCCAGGTTGTTCAGTTTGTTGGAATAGAGTTGTTCATAGTATTTTGTAACAATCCGTTGTATTTCGGTGGGGTCTGTTGTTATTTCACCTCTTTCATTTCTGATTTTGTTTATTTGGGTCCTCTCTCTTTGTTTCTTGGTTAGCCTGGCTAGAGGTCCATCTATCTTGTTTATCCTTTCAAAGAACCAGCTCTTGGTTTTGTTGATCTTATGTATTGTTTCTTTGGTCTCTATGTCATTTATCTGTGCTCTGATTTTTGTTATTTCCTTCCTTCTGCTTACACTGGGCTTTTTTTGTTGCTCTTTTTCTAACTCTTTGAGTTGTAGAGTTAGATCATCTGTTACCATTTTTTCTAGTTTTTTGCAATAAGGCTTGTAAGGATATGAACTTCCCTCTCAAAACTGCTTTTCCTGTGTTCCATAGATTTTGGATTGTTGTGTTTTCATTGTCATTTGTTTCCAGGATGTTTTTAATTTCTTCCTTGATTTCTCTGGTAAACCAGTCCTTGTTTAATAGCATGTTGTTTAGTCTCCATGTGTTTGATTTCTTTGGATTATTTTTATTGTAGTTAATTTCCAGTTTTATGCCATTATGATCTGAGAAGATGCTTGATATGATTTCTATCTTCTTGAATTTGAAAAGACTTTGCCTATGTCCCAAAATGTGGTCTATCTTTGAGAATGTCCCATGTGCACTTGAGAAGAATGTATATTCTGTGGCTTTGGGGTAGAATGTTCTGAAGATGTCAATTAATTCCATCTGGTCTAGTGAGTCGTTTAGGATTGATATTTCTTTGCTGATTTTTTGTTTAGATGATTTGTCGAAGGGTGACAGTGGGGTATTAAAATCTCCCACTATGATTATATTGCTATTAATCTCTCCCTTAATGTCCTCCAGCAGTTTTTTTATGTATTTGGGTGCTCCTGTATTGGGTGCATATATATTTACCAGGGTTATTTCTTCTTGTTGGATTGTTCCCTTTAGTATTATGAAGTGGCCTTCATTATCTCTTGTTATGTCCTTCACTCTGAGATCTAATTTGTCAGATGTAAGTATTGCTACCCCAGCTTTTTTTTCATTTCCATTTGCCTGGAAAACTTTTTTCCATCCCTTCACCCTCAATCTGTGTGCATCTTTTTTTCTGAGGTGGGTTTCTTGTAGACAACAGATGTATGGGTCTTGTTTTCTTATCCAGTCTGACACCCTATGTCTTTTGATTGGAGCATTTAATCCATTTACATTTAAGGTTATTATTGATAGATACTCATTTGACGCCATTTTTATTCTATACCTGTGTTCCTTCTTCACTTCCTATTTCTTTATTTTTACAGTAGACCCTTTAGCATTTCTTGCATTGCTGGTTTGGTGGAGATAAATTCCTTCAGTCTTTTTTTTGTCTGTGAAACTCCTGATTTCCCCTTCAATTTTGATTGATAGCCTTGCTGGGTACAGTATTCTTGGATTCAGACCCTTCCTTTGCATGACTTTGTATATTTCATCCCATTCCCTTCTGGCCTGATATGTTTCTGTTGAGAAATCAGTTGCTAGTCTGATGGGGGTTCCTTTGTATGTAACTTCCTGTCTCTCTCTGGCTGCTTTTAAGATTCTTACTTTGTCGTTGTTGTTTGCCACTTTAATTATAATGTGCCTTGGCGTCTGTCTTCTGGGATTCATTTTGCTTGGGACTCTGCGAGCATCTTGGATTTGTGTGGGTTTTTTCTTCTCTATCTCAGGAAAGTTTTCTGTCATTATTTCTTGAAATACTTTTTCCACATCTACCTCAGTTTCCTTTCCTTCTGGAACCCCTATTATTCGAATATTATTTTGTTTTGTATTGTCCCAAAGCTCCTGTAGGCTCTCCTCTGCTTTTTAATCTTTTTTTCTAGAAGCTGCTCTATTTGGGTATTTTTTTCCATCTTGTCTTCTAGCTCACTGATGCGGTCCTCTGCTTCATCTAGTCTACTCTTGATGCATTCTATTGAGTTCTTCACGGTCGTGATGTCATTTTTCATTTCTTCTTGGTTCTTCTTCAGTTCCTCTTGGTTCTTCTTCAATTCCTCATGGCTCTTCTTTACTTCCTCATGGTTCTTCCTCATTTCTTCTTGGTTATTGTCAAATTTCTCTTCCATTCTTTTTAGCCAACCTATGATCATTATTCTGAACTCTTGCTCTGGTAGGCTGCTTGCCTCTGACTCATTTACTTCCTTTTCTGGTGATGCCTGCTTTTCTTTCATGTGCAGGGTATTTTTTTGTCTTTCCATGGTATCTCTTTTCAGGATGTCTGGTTATGTGGTGTTCCTTCTCTTGCGTTGATTTAAAGGTGCAAAATACAACACTACCAGGTACCACACAGGAGGCACTTAACAGGAATGTATTTACAATATTAATAACCTCTAATAAAGGTGACCACTAGAGAATGGCAAATTAGGGGATAGGAGAGAAGGAAGGAAGGTAAAAATAAAGGAAAAATTTAAAAAATAAAAAAAATAATAAAAAAAATAAATAAGTAAATAAAAAAAGATGGATAAAGAGATAGTCAAAGAAGAAAAAAGTAATGACAAAATGAAGGTGGAAAGCAGGGAAAAAAAGAAAAGAGAGAGAGAGAGAGAGAGAGAGCAAACTAAAAGAGAGATGGGAAACAAACTATTGATATATATATGTGGAGAAAAATTGCCATAGAACAACCACTGAGGCCAGCCAATGCGAGTAACAATACTTGGAGGTTAATACAAACTACAATATCCACTATTATTAAGTAAGGCTATGATATACAGAAGTAAAAGAAACAAACAAAAACAGAGGATTTTTTTGTTTAAAAAATACAAATCATCAATAACAACACAGGAATAAGCATAACAATTTCACTAAAAAGCATAAAAATTCACAATAATCAACCTTTACACAAACCATGAGAAAAGGATAGAAAGTAGAACAGTTTTGTTTTTTTTTAACTAGTTAATATATTGCAGAGATTGGTATTTATACACTTGGATCAGGGGTTGGAATTTAGGTCTATAAGTATAGTGAGAGCTTTAGCAGGGGGTACACAGAAAGAATAGAGGAAAAACTAAAGCAGGAAAGGGATAGGATAAACTGGAGACTAAAAGGTTAAAGTTTAGTAAGAGAGTGATGGTGTAAAGGTTGAGTTGAGATACGGTTGAATGATGCTATAGTAGAGATTAAAATAGAATGAAGGTTACTCCCAATGTAAAATAAAGAAGAACTAAAATGGTACTGGAGAGGAAAAGAAAAAAACAAACAAACTGCAAAATAGCAGTAGTAATAGTGATGATAGAGATTGAAAAATGTAATAATTGAAAAGGTAAAATCAAGTAAGGAAAAAAGAAAAAAATTCGTTTCTTAAGTAAAAGATGTAAAAAATGAAAATTAAATAAAATATGTAAAAAATGAAAGTAAAATAAAGAATAGTAAAATTAGCATAAAAATGTCCAGTAGTGGTCATTCACTTCCTCTGTTGTTGTATTTGGCACACCTGATTCTCGGACCAGAGAATCTTGTAGTTCCCAGCATTCCACTGCACCTCAGTTTTATAAGGTAGTCCTTAATTTTAGGTAGGCTATCTCTTAGTTATTTGTGTCCATTTATTTTTGATTAATTAAAAGAAAAAGAAAAAGAAAGAAAGAAAGAAAGAAAGAAAGAAAGAAAGAAAGAAAGAAAGAAAAAAAAGGCAGTTTGTAATTCAGCCCTTAGGTGTCATTGTTACCGGTTTGACCTCCCAGTCTTTTGGTTGCTCTGGCCTTCTTTCTCTATGGTTCTAGCTGGCAGAGTGCCAGCTGGCTCCCAGACTATCTCCTCTGGCTCCTATCCCTTGTTTCCAGGAAGGCAATTTCCCCCTGCGATTTCCCGGATATGCCCAACTGTGCAGTCCTTCCCTAGTATTCAGACGCAAGGGGGTGAAGGGGATCAGGCGCCGAGGTGTCCAGGTGTTCCGCCCTTAGCGGGACAGCCGCGATTCTTAACAATCTGTCCCGTGTCCCCCTGGCGTTTTAGAAAAAGTCCCGCTTCTGGGGATGATTACGCCAAACCCCGGACTGGGTGTTGCCAGACAGGTTTCTCGCTGTGGCCTTCTTTGGGCACAGCTCTGGTGCAGCTGCCACGGCGCTCCGGGGCCGCACTGGGGGCGGGGCCTCGTGGTGCTCTGGGGCTACAATATAGGCGGGGCCGTAGCGCTCCTGGGCCGCTCTGGGGGCGGGGCCTCGAGGGAGCTCCGGGACTACCGCTGCCTGTGCCGCCAGAACCCTCAGGCTATCCCCGCAAACTCTGACCTTTCCGTGGGTAGCCGCTGAACTCCGTTGAATCCATGCGTTTGCGTCGATTGGGGCGTCACAGGTGCTCGATGGACTCCTCCCCTGTGGGTTTTCCAGGCCTCAGAGATGCTCCTCCTTTCCTGGTAGGGTGGTGCAGCCTTCGCGCCGAGGCCGCTCCGGGAAAAGTCGGCAGTGCTGGCCGCTTGGTCAGGAAATCCTGTCCAGCAGACCCTTCCTTACTTTCCTAGAGATATTTGCTACCCTTTAGCTGTTAATCAACATTCCCTGAGCTACTCAGACTCTGCCTTTATCTGTTTTGGGAACGGAGTCAGAACAAGTCCATCTGTTCGGTCGCCATCTTCAAGCTCCGCCCTCTAGTTCTTGATTTTTAATATTGAGTACTACTAGCCTATCTTGTTCTCTTAATCCCTGAACCGGTCAGAAGGAAGGCCCATGATTCTATAAAGAAAGCTGCTTCTTGCTAGTCAAGGTTTATGGCAACCTCTTCAGCATCTCCAGACTCATTTAGGATCCACAGACAACTCATCTCAATTCCTGAGTCAGCTGCAAGAGAAGTAGTCACCCAAGTGTTTAGAGAAGGGATCTTTCTGGGATGGCTGTGTGCTATTAGGAAGCAGCAGTCAACTGGCAGGGAGATGAGACTGCTCCCTCTTTCCATGCAGGTAACAAAGTGCTCCACATTTTTTAAATTTAAACTTCTTCTAATGCCAATTCTTCAAAATAGACTCGCCCAGGCTGTGGTATTTTGTGGAAGAGCCACACTCAAGGGGCCAAAGAGGCGCATGTCGCTCATGAGCCGCAGTTTGCCGACCACGAATCTAGATCATTTTCTGGTTGTCTACCTATGGATAGAGAAATGAGGGAGTTAACAGGAAAACAATGAACCAAAATGAAGATTTGAAGGGGAGGAGAACAAATAAAAAAGAAGTGGCCTCAGGCAATGTTCAGCTCCTAATTTCTTCCATTTTCTTCCTTGAGTCTCAAGAGTAGCAGAAACTTTCCTCTACCTCTCCCCCCTTTTCCCTAAGCAACACTCTGCTCTTCTGAATCCCGTAGCTTTGTCTCTTAAGACACCTTATGTCTTTTGCTCAGCCTAAATAGAAATCTGTGACTATATTTTTCTTTTATAAACATAGCTATACATATTTGGCATATTCCATCAACTTTTCCCTTTACCGAGTAGGCTCTGTATGGCCAAGAGTGGGGTTCAACCCCTTTGGGAAATTTTCACTCAATTTCAAACATCTTCCTAACATAATTCCCCAAATCATAAATCCCTTATTGCCACAGTCTTTCCCAAAGAGTGGCTTCTGTGTTCTTTTATGGGTGCTCTTCATAGTTCTGTCTGAAAAGGGTACCTGGTTTTGTTTTTGCAGTGTCAGCTGGCAGTCATCCCGCTTGGAACCGGCAATGATCTGGCCCGTGTCCTAGGCTGGGGTGCGTTCTGGAACAAAAACAAGTCACCTCTGGACATCCTCAACAGAGTGGAACAGGCCAGTGTGAGGATTCTAGACAGGTGAGTGGCTGAAAGATCAGGCTATTGTGCCTTTTCCAGTTGTACACTAGTTATTTCGTTACATCACTTCAATCAGGAATGCTTTCATCTCCCTCATAGAGCCTTTATGTCCTCAGTTTGGGAGGTAGAGGGCTTGGCTATTAGGAAACTATGGCCTACTATGTATCCTTCAAACATCACTGAAGCCCTTCATCAACTCAAAATATCCTAAAGAAATATCCCTGTGGGTAAATTTCAAGGGTTCTGTGAACCTTCTTTAAATTGTATAGCTATGTAAGCACATTGTTTTTCATGGGGAAGTATCCATCTCTCTATTCTAGAATAGTATAGAAACTATTTTACACTTTCATTAAGTTATCAAAGAAACTTTAAAAAATGAGAGTTCATACACAATTAGCCTAAACTGTCTATGCTTTACTGAATATAGAGTATTGCCATCTTATCTTCTGATAAGAAAGGCTTTCTATGCTGGGGCATAGTATTTGATATATGATTTCCCCTGAGGATATCCTGGGTGCTTTCTCAAGATACTAAGCCAGGGCCTATCACAAAGATTCTTGTTCAGTTGGTCTTGAATAGGGTCTGATATAGGTATTTTATAAAAGCACTTCGGGTGATCTTGATATTTACCTCTGGTTAAGAAGCACTGCTTTCTGAGACACTATGATGGAATTCCTTCCATCACAGTGTTCTAGAGAAGCCATGAGGACCCCCCTACCTTGTGGTATATCTTGATGTCAAGTGACCTGAGATAGCTTGGGCATCCCCTACATCTCTCCCCAACACATAAACACATAAATATCTGCCTGTGATGAAACAGAGTCCTAAATATCTGTCTGTCTGTCTTTGAACTTCATTTCAGATGGAGTGTAATGATTCGTGAGACTCCCAGACAAACCCCGTTGCTAAGAGGGCAAGTTGAAATGGATATACCCCGATTTGAGGTAAGTACTACCCAGCTGTATTTCAGGCCAATATCTTTATTGCACAGTGAAATAATAGGCAAAACCCAGAGAGAAGTTATTGTATTTTCTATGAGCTTGATGAGAATGAGATCATTGAAAATTAGGGACATGCAACTATTTACAAAAAATGGTGATAGATACTGTGGGCATAATTCATTCAGCCATTTACTAGTACTCATTTTCCACTCAAAATAGGTATGGAAACTATGAATTAATTATGAAGTGTGAGATACTGTTCTAGCAGCTGTTTTTATATGCTAGTTGTTAAAGAAGAATAACAGTCCATGCTGTCATAGAACTAATAGTTGCAGTGGTAGAAAACATTTATTAATTAGTATGAGTTTTAGTATATAAAGAAGTAGCAAGGGTGGTAACACCCAGTAGGTGTATGTAAGCCAGTCTTGGGGAAATCATGGAAAGCTTCTCAAAATAACTACCATTTCAGAAGATATTTAAGGACCAGAGTTAGCCAGGATAGTGGGAAAGAGGAGGCCTCTTCCAAATTGATGGAACAGTGTGTGTTGTTCCAAAGGCAAGAGAGAGCAAGGAATAGTCACACAACTGAAATGCATTCATAATGGCTGAGGCATAGGGGCCAAGGCATATACAGGAAGTTCTACTAAAGATGAAACTGGAGAAGTAATCAGGAGCAAGCCAGGAAGAACATGGTAAACAATGGTAGGAAGTTTGAACTTTTATCCTAAGAAGAATGAGAATTATAGAAGATTTTTTTACCTTATTAGGAAATTTTTCAAACACATAGAACGTGTTAAATGGTATATTCTACCATTAATATTTTACTATACTTTATCACAAATCTATCCATTTTGCTATCTAATAGAAAGGTTTTAAGCAGGGGAGTTCCATGGTAGGTAGAGAAACAATTGGAGGAATAGATTAGAAGAAAGGAGAAAGACAGAAGATGTTGTAATTGTCTAGATAAAAGATAATGATGATTTTTACTTGTGAGATAAGGAGAAATGGACTCATTTAAGATATATTAAAGATATAGGCTCATCAGGACCTGGTAGATGCAGTTGTAGTTTTAAATTATAGACTCAAGGGCCAGACTATCTGGAATTGAATCCTGATTCTTCTACTTATCAGCTACCCCTTTTCCTATGCCTCAGTAAACTGTTCTGTGAAACTGGGATAATAATACTTATTATAAGGACTACATGAAAAAATATATATATATAGCTTAGAACAGAGCCTGGCACATAGTGAGTGCTATATAAATAGATGCTGTTATTATCTACTAGAGGCCTGGTGCACAAAATTTGTGCATGGGTAGGGGGTCCCTCAGCCCAACCTGCACCCTCTCCAGGAGCCCTTAGGGAATGTCCTACTGATGATGGCTTAGGCCCACTCCCCATGGTTCTCTGCTCTCTGCAGGGCCTGCTGGCTCCACACCATGGCGATGGGCAAGAAGGCCCTGCTGGGTGCTTCCTGTGGGCTCGCTTGCTTGCTCACGGGTCACTGCAGCTATGGCCAAGCAGGCCCTGCTATCTGCTGTCAACCTACATGCCACCCTTGCCTCCCAAGGCCAGCAATGGTCCTAGGAGGCTGTGGGCTTGGTGCCAATCCCTGGGACCCAGGCCACTTGGCACCACCCACCCTTGGCTGCTTGGCACATATGTATGCAAATTAACCAACCATCTTTGTTGGGTTAATTTGCATACTCATTTCTGATTGGCTGGCGGGCATTGTGGCGGTATGGTCAATTTGCATCTTTCTTTTTTATTAGTGTACATAATAATAAAAGTATAATATGCCAATTAGACTGGATGTCCTTCCAGACTTCCTTCCTTCCATACAAAGCCATGGTGGGCAGAGGCTGAGGCAGAGGCAGCCACCATGGCAGCAGGGGCCAAGTCCTTCCACTAATTTTGTGCATTAGGCCTCCAGTTACTACTATTATTATATAAGAGGATATAATCTGGTACTGGGAAAATGTGGGTTCAAATTCCAGATCTAGTATTTACTATCTATGTAATATGAGATTGTTCATTTGAAACAAGGAATAAATATTATCACCTTTATATGAGTTTTAAATATTAATTTAAATGAGAGGAAACAATATAGATCTTTTATTTTTAGAATGACCACAGAGCTAAGATTATTAAGAGGATCTTTTTAAAAAAGTCCTTAATTATGATTATTTCCAGAGAGGCAGTTGTGTTGATGGTAAAAAATAATGAGGGAATGAGGATGGGTAGCACACTATGTCAAACTGCTAAGATCCCAAGTCTGAACACTCTTTTTCCCCCTAGGCTGCTGCCATCCAACACTTAGAATCTGCAACCACTGAGTTGAACAAAATCCTGAAGGCCAAGTATCCTGCAGAGATGATCATCCCAACCAGGTCAGTTTTCCTTTGGCTCTCAAACTTTGGGGTTTTTCTTGCCCCTCATGGGCTTTCTTCAGTCAGAGGTAGGATTCATTTTAACAGTTTGGGGTGTTGAGGCCAAAGAAAGTACAGTAAATCCTTACTTGACATTGTCAATAGGTTCTTGGAACTATGGCAAAGCAACATATAGTTAAATCAGTTTTACCATAGGCTAATTGATATAAACAACATTTAAGTTTCTACAGCATCCCATGAACATTATAATAAAGTGATATTAAACAATATTATGTCATTTGAGGGACTGCTGTATATGCTTATCTTTCCAAAACCACTCAGAAATGAAGAATATAATAACTGAAATGAAGAAGATATTAGAAAGAATCAACAATAGATTAGATGAATCAGAGGATCAAATCAGCAATCTGGTAGACAAGATAGCAAAAAAACAAAAACAAAAAACAAAACAAACAAAAAAACACCCAATTATAATAGAAAAAAAAAGAATTTTAAAAAATGAGGATAGTTTAACACTGAGACAACATCAAGCACACCAACATTTGCATCATAGGGATACCAGAAGGAGAAGAGAGAGAGAGCAAGGGATTGAGAACCTATTTTAAGGGATAATGACTGAAAAACTTCCCTAATCAGGTGAAGGAACTTGACAAGTCCAGGAAGCACAGAGGGTCACAAACAAGATGAACCCAAAGAGGCCCACACCAAGACACCATATAATTAAAATGGCAACATTAAAATCAAAGAAAGAATCTTAAAACTAGCAAGAGAAAAACAGCTACTTATATATCAATACAAAGAAACTCACATAAGATTATCACCTTATTTCTCAGCACAAACTTTGGAGGTGTGAAAGGATTATCACAAAATATTCAAAGTAATGAAAATCAATGACATACAACCAAAATTATCCTACCCATCAAGGGTGATTATTTAGAACTGAGAGATAAAGAATTTTCCAGTCAAGAAAAAAAACTAAAAGACTTTGTCCCCACTAAATCAGAACACAAAAATATGTTAAAAGGAGTTCTTTAAGAAGAAATGAAAAGATTAAAAATATGAATAGGAAAATATTGGAAAGAAAGCAAATTCTCACTGATAGAGGTACACATATAATAAAAGCAGTGGATCAACTAAAATACAGAGGTTGAAAAGTAAGAAGATTGTGTATAATTAGAACAATAAATTAAGGGATACATATAAACACACACAAGAGGTGAAAAATAATGACAAAAACATAAATGTGGAGAGAGTAATTTACAAATGTACTTATTTTAGAATGTGTTCTAAGTTAAGAGACCATCAAATTAAAATAGATTGCTATAAATATAACTTGGTATATAGGAAGCACATAGTAACAGCAAATAAAAAATTCTACAAGAATAAAAGAGAAAGGGATCCAAACACAACACTATAGAAAGTCATTAACATATAAAGAAAATAAGAGAATAGATAGATGATGATGATAGATTATAGATAGATAATAGATAACTCCCAACAAACAGAAACTGGAGAAAGAACAGAAAAGAACTACAAAACTACTCAGAAAAACAAATTATAAAATGTCAATAGCTAAATACCTGGCAATAACCACTTTAAATGTAAATGGAGTAAATGTTCCATTAAAAAGAAAAAGGGTGACTGGATGGCTAAACAATCAAGACCCATACATATGCTTCCTATAGGAGACCCCTTCAAATCAAAAGACACAGACACACACAGACTAAACATAAAGGGCTGGAAAAAGATATTTCATGCAAAAGAAAACAAAACAAAACAAAAACTTGCATAGCAATACTTATATCAGACAAAATAGACTTTAAAACAAGGACTGCAATAAGAGGCAAAAAGGGCATTTCATAATGATAAAGGGACCGATACAGCAAAAGAAAATAACTCTCATAACCACCTATGTACCAATATAAGAGAATCTGAATTTCTGACACAAATTTGTCAGACATAAAGGGATATATCCCAGTAATACACTTATTAACATCAATGAATATATCATTCATACAGAATATCAACAAGACAACAGTGGCCTTAAATTACATATTAGACTATATAAATGTAATGAATATTTTTAGGTCACTTCAGCAGAATATACATTTTCCTCAAGGACACAGAGAACATGTTCCAGGATAAACTACATGCTGGGCCACAAAACAAGTCTCAATAAGTTTAAGAACATTGAAATCATACCTTCTCTAATCACAATGGTATAAAAGTAGAAATCAATTATGGGAAGAAAACTGAAAAACACACAAACATATGGAGGCTAAATAACATGTTATTAAACAATGAATGGATTCACAAGGAGATCAAGGAAGAAATCAAAAGATGCCTTGAGTCAAATGAAACTACAGCAATCCCAGATCTATGGCACGCAGCCAAGGCAATTCTAAAAGGAAATTTTACTATATAGCAATATAGGCCTGCCTCAAGAAACAAGACAAATAAACAATCTAACCTTACGTTTAAAGGAAATAGAAACAAAAGAATAAATAAAGCCCAAAGAGAGTACATGGAAGGAAACAATAAAGATCCAAGGGTAAATAAATAGAGTCTAAAAAAGCACCTAAACCAAGAGCTGATTTGTTGAAAATATTTTTTAAAAAATTAGTAAACCTTCAGCCAGTTTCATCAAGAAAGAAAAAATAGAGGAGGCCCAAATAAATAAAATCAGAAATGAAAAAGGAGAAGTGATGAACCAACACTACAAAAATACAAATGAGCCGAAACCAATTTGGCTCAGCGGTAGAGTGTTGGTCTGCGGAAAGGTCCCAGGTTCGAATCCCATCAAGGGCATGTACGTTGGTTGCGGGCACATCCCCGGTGGGGGGTGTGCAAGAGGCAGCTGGTCGATGTTTCTCTCTCATCGACGTTTCTAGCTCTCTATCTCTCTCCCTTCCTCTCTGTAAAAAATCAATAAAATATATATTTTTAAAAAATACAAATGACTGACGCGCTACCTACTGTGCTAACGAGGCACCTAAAATACAAATGATTATAAAGAAATGTTACAAACAATTATATGTCAACAAATTGGGTGGCCTGGAAGAAATAGACAAAAATTCCCCGAAACATACAATCTTCTAAAACTGAATAAGGAATAATCAGAGAATCTTAATAGTCAAATTACAACTAGTGAAATTGAAGCAATAATAAAAATAGGTAGATAGATGAGATAAATAGATAGAAAGATAGATAGATGATTGATAGATAGATGATAGATAGATAGATAGATAGATAGATAGATAGATAGAGATACATAGATAATTCCCAACAAACAGATGGCATTACAAGTGAATTTTACCAAATATTTAAAGAATAATTACTACTATTCTTTTCAAACTGTCCCAAATATCAAACAGAATAAAATACCTAGGAATAATTTTAACCAAGGTGGTAAAATACCTGTATTTTGAAAATTATAAGACATTGAAGAAAGAAATTGAAGAAGATACAAATAAAATAAAGGATATACTAGTACCATGGTCAAGAATCAAGAATTAACATAATTAAAATGTCTATTCTACCCAAAGCAATCTACAGATTCAGTGCAATCCCTGTTAAAATACCAATGGCATTTTTTACAGAACTAAAACAAATTATCCTAAAACTTTAATGGAATTCCTAAAGACTCTAAATAGCCAAAGCAATTTTGAGAATAAAGAACAAAGTTGGAGATATCATGCTAACTGGTCTAAAGGCTATACTACAAAGCTATAGTAATCAAAACATCATGGTACTGACATAAAAATAGACACAGATTAATGGAAGAAAATAGAGAACCCAGAAATGAACTCATGTTTATCTGATCAATTAAGCTATGACAAAGGAGACAAGAATATACAATGGGTTACAGATAGTCTCTTCAATAAATAATATTGGGAAAATTGGATAGGTACATGCAAAAATGAAACTTAAATCACTTTGTTACATCATATGCAAGAATAAATTCAAAATGGGTTTAAGACTTAAATAAAAGACCCAAAACCATAAAATTCTTAGGAGAAAATATAGGCAGTAAAATCTTTGACATCACTCTTAGCTATGTGTATGTGTCCTTGGGCAAGGGAAACAAAAGAAAAAAATAAATACAAATGGGACTTACCTAAATACAAAAAAGACAACCTATTGAGTAGAAGAAGATATTTTCCAATGATATATCCAATAAGGGGTTAATATGTAAAGTACAGGATGTCCCAAAAATGTATACATACTTTGAATGATTATAAAGTCAGTCTTTATTAACATAGAGTTTATTTTCAACATTTAAAAGAATCTACAGAAAGGAATAAATTTTTTGTCAATGCCTGTTTTCAAACTGATGACTGTTCTCATCCAGGCACTGCTTATAACGTGAAGCAATGAAATTGTAAACATCAAGAATCATTCTGTTAGGTATTTGGGCACTCTCAATTTGTCAACTGTTTCCAGTTTCGTGTCGTAAACTTTATCTTTTATGTATCCCCGTGAAAAAGGTTTAATGGCCCTAGCTGGTGTGACTCAGTGGACAAAGCGTTTGGCCTACAGACTGAAGGGTCCCAGGTTTGAGTCCAGTCAAAGGCACATACGTACCTCAGTTGCAGGCTCCTCACTGGGAGCTGGTTAGGGCATGTACAGGAGGCAACCAATAGATGTATTTCTCTCATATCAGTGTTTCTATTTTTCTCTCTCTCTTCCTCTCTCTTTAAAAATCAATGAGAAAATATCCTCATGTGAGGATAAAAAAAAAATTAGTGGATAAATTTTCTTTGTTCAAAGCTTAATATGGCTTCGCTCATTATTTCAAATCAGTTACACCTGAAAAGGAGTGAAAATTGTTTTCAGCTATTAAAGTGTGTATATATTTGAATAATTATAAAGGCAGTGTTTGTACTTCAACTGCATTTTCAAACTTCCAGTAGCATTTTAGGATGAATTTCCTTTGTTCAAATTCAGAATGGCTGAAAAAACAAACATCAATTGAGCTATCAGCTATAAATGTGTTTATA